TCCTTCCCTCCATTGATTACGGTGACATTATTTACATGAACGCTCCTACAAGAACCCTGCAGATGTTGGATGCTGTCTATCATGGTGCACTAAGATTCATAACTGGTTGTGATTATTGTACCCACCACTGCACCCTGTATTCACTGGTTAACTGGACATCATTAACTTCACACTGACTCTCTCACTAGTACATTTTCATCTTTAAATCACTTCTTGGTCTGCTGCCTTCATACATCTCCTCCTACATGTCTATGCACGAGTGCAGCTACGGAGTGCACTCTCAGGACATTATTACCTGCAGTGTACCCTCAATGTGGACTGAACTAGGCAAAAGGGCCTTCTCCTACTCCGCTCCTGTTTCCTGGAATATCTTACAAAAAGATTTGAAGCTCTCGACCCTGACCTCTCTAAGTGGCTTTAAGAATCTGTTGGACTCCTGGCAGGGACCAACGTAGACATGTTCCTGTTTTTAGTTTTCTACATTCGCCTTAGAATGTAGCTGGTTTTATTTTTGTTTTTTTTGTTATCTTTTTCTTTTAGCCATCCTATTTGTAAAAAAAAAAAAAAAAAACCTGCAGTATGACTTTTTATAAATTGTTTATTGTTGGTGCTGTTGTCCATTGTTGTCATCTTTCTTTGTTGAAATCAGTTCTCTCTTGTGAATGAGTCCCCAAGGCTCAATGGGATTACCTGTCTAAATAAAGGTTGAATGAATGAAGAGAGCGCTGAGTCGAAAGGAAAAGCTCTCGATTTACTGAACGGCCTATGTTCCAACCCTCACCTGTGGTTATGAGGTTGGGATTATTGCTGCAGGAACAAGATCCTGGATACAAGCAGCCAAAATGGTCTTCCTTCACATGGTGGCTGGGCTCAGCTTTAGAGATAAGGTGAGGAGCTCTACATTCTGAGCGGAGCTCGGAGTAGAGTCACTGCTCCTCTGCATCAAAAGGAGTCAGTTGAGGTGGTTTGGGTACCTGATTATGAAGCCTCCTGGACACCTGGAGGTTTTCTAGGCAAGCTCCACCAGTAGGAGATCCCAGGGAAGACTCATATGCTGCTGGATGGATTGTGTATCTTTTCTGGCCTGGGAACACCTTGGCGTCTCCCAGAGCGAGCTGAAAAGTGTTGCTGGGTAGAGAGATGTCTGGATTTCTCTCCTGGAACTGTTGCCTCCCCGACCCGATTACTGATAAGAGCTAGAAGATGGATGGATGGATGGATGGATGGATGGATGGATGGATAGATGGATGGACAGACGGACGGATGGATGGATGGATTGCTTGCTTGATTGATTGATTCCAACATATGTTTTGATAATTAAAAGTTGATGCTTTGCTCTTTCAGGTTCTGATATTCCCAGAAGGAACGTGTACAAATCGCTCATGTCTTATCACTTTCAAACAAGGTAAGTTTAAAAAGTAGGTCATTTTTTTGTTGTTGTTTGTTTGTTTACTGTTTAGAGCAGGTCTATTCAACAAAACTGCTCAGGGGGCCACAGTTTCTGAAAACCAACAGCGCGGGGGGGGGGGCACCCAGCGTTTAAGATCATTATGTAAATAAACCCAAGTTTACAATGATCTGTTACATTTTAAATGTATTTATTTTATTGCATTGAATCATACTTTGTAAATGCAATAAACAGAACCCAAAACCCAAACCAAGAACCCACCCCCCCCCCCCAAATAATAAATTATTAATATTATTATTTTTAAAGAAATGGGCTGGGTTGAAGTCACCCGCCGGCCGAAAATGGCTCGCGGGCCGTCAGTTGAATAGCTCTGGTTTAGAGTCTGCATGTTCTCTTTGTGTATTGTTGGCTGT